GAGACCTGGACAAACGACGGGCCGACAGCTGCCCGCTGCGGTTTTGCCGGGGGCGACAGCTGCCTTTTCATTGCTCATTTATGTTTGTTAGCAGAGATGACTGAAAGGAAGACCGAATTGAGAACTGAGAACCATCGCCTGTTCAGTCGGTGAAGCTGGTGGTTGGACTGATCAAAGTGCTGTTGACTTGGGCCTTCAGTGTAGATAGGCTCCTTACAGTCGTCTCCCGTGTTTTTGTACCATTCTAATATATATATATATTATACACTCACTAGTCGCCCATTGACCTGTCAAGGGCACTGGCACGTTTCTTTGATCAAGAGGCAGTTGGCATATTAAGGCGGTTGCCCCAATTGCCGCAAGCTTGGAGCCGTACTGTAAGCGCGACTTACGTGATGTTGCGTATGGTGAAACTCCTGACGGCAGGATTGGAACTCTATCCTCGTCCATGCATGGGAGGTTTCTTTCTTTTGCAAGGCTGTGGCTTGTCTACGCATCTCCAAAAAAACGTTGTTTTCTTGAAGAATCTTTGTCATCAAGTACTTTGTGGTGGGGTTAAGTCGATTTGTCTTGCAAGAATTCAACTTTTTGGCTACGTGCCCATGAGTAGAGTTGCTGTATGGATGTGTTCAGTGAGGCGACTACCTTTTTGTCATGGTACGGCCATGGTGTTTGGCACTATCACTGGATATGATTTGCACTAGCATTTGAGTATGATTGAAGAGACATTGAGATCTAGTCTCTCCAGCCAGGGAGCACTTTTGAATAACAAGGTGCATAGTGCATAAGTTCGGGATGACACCTTGCACAGTCCTACAGTCTTGCCCCTTCCTTACCCACATGATCCACCACAAAACAAAGATCCACGAAACCAAAGAAATCCTGAGAACAAACAGCTCTCATCCTCGCCCGATGTGACCACGCTTGCAAAGTCACAGAGGGTGAATTCAACAGGCTTAATTCCTCTAGGGGGGTCTTTGAGAGGCCTCCTTGTTTTAGTATACACCCTGCCATGCGCCGAGAGTTTTTGCAAAGCATATTCAACCAATCTCCCACCCCAAGCAACACGTGGATGTGCACATCACCGCATCGATTCCGAGTTCCATGGAACATGTCTTTGGATCTCAGCATGCCCATTTTGGATCTCAACGTGTCTCCATCCCATATCCTAAAAGCTTCATAGTTTCTTGCGCACGGAGATGACTTGAGGTCTTTGGAGATGATAGCCATCTGCTGCTATCTCATTAAACATTGTTATATGTATATAGTTATATACATGTAGTGGAAGCGAAGATGGAAAGAGCGGATCAGCTCTGAACCAGGGATTCGAAGCGAAGAGCACCTTTAGCACAGCCTCGAAGCCCAGATTTCTTCCTGATCCATCGTTGCAACGTGCTTGCTTTCACCAAGGACATGACTTTCCAGAATGCGAGCTTGGTGGGCAACAACACAGTGCAGGCTTGGTTTCTTGAATCACGGTGTTTGCCTGTTCGACTCAAAAATACTCGAATTTCAGGCATCCCGACTGTCTTGGCTACTTGACCTTGATGCTCTTTTCTGAATGCAATCTTCATGATTCCAAGCTTGAGTGCCTCAGTGCACTGGAAAAGCTTCGATTCTAGTTCATAGAACAAGATGTTTCCATCAAGGGTCAGTTCAGCCAACAAGCTGACATCACATCATGGTGGACAGCTTGTTTAAAGGATTTTCAATCATGGTATCAACGACGTCAAAACACGCGGCGGCTTTGAGCTTTCCGTGGTTGAGGGCCTTTTGCACTTGCAGATGGCAAAAGTTCATAGTCTCCCAAGTATCCAACAAATCTCCTCATGTTTGGTTGAAGCCTTTCGAGGGTCAGGATCAGGTTTTGAGATGTTGAGAATTGAGTTGTGTTTCTTTACAGCTTGGCTGGCATAGTAAAGCTTAATAGTCATCCTCTTCTCCTTGTGAACACTTTTGTTCATTATAGTGACGGCCACATACTTGGAACTACAATTTGTTTTCAAAGCTGCAAAAAACACACTCCCACACTTAGAACACCAGTGGGTTTTCGACTGCGTTGCTGATTCGAGCTACTGATGATGCCAGCCTTGCTGTCGATACCGAGAGAGGTGGGCTTCACTGATGGCCATACTTCTCTATTTCAGATTGAAGACTTACTGAAGGCCGACAGACCCGGGTCCGTTGTTTGATTCGTTTTCGGGGTGCCAGGTGGTTCGGTGTCGAATCCTTGAAGCACCAGAACATCCCAAAACAATCCAAAACATATTATTCGCTGGACACCAGCTAAGACCAGGGGTTTCTTCCTGTTTTGACCAGCTAATGCATATCAAGACATCTTTTGGTGCAGTGCGGGCGCCGCTTGGCCATAGGACACTGGCATTGGTGCATCAGTTGTGCAATTGAGCGAGGCTGATTGGTTCTGACATGTTTCGATATGTTTCGCTATAAAGGCGGCAAGGTTTGGTTTGTTCTTGAATTTTCTTCGCTGCATGAGGGAGGTGCAGTCAGACGGGGACCGGAGGAGCACAGGGACAGAGTCGTATTCACTGCGACAACTGATGTGTCGGGCTATAACTAGCTTTTGGCCATATCCACGTAGTAGGAGATTGGTGTTGTTGTTTCATATGGAGGTTGATGAGATGATGCGACTCGTGGGAGAATGAAAACTATTGGATTCAACGTTCAATCCCTCTGATCATGAGGTAGGTTAAAACTGGATCATTTTCAGGGGTCGATATACTGTACTCATCCATTAAGCCATATGATCGACCAAGGTTTCGGCATTGTATATATTTTTATTTTAACCATTTGCAGCGTATCATGAAGTCCGTATTAGCAGCCACTGTTACACAAATAACTTGGCCAAAAGCCATTGACTTAGATTGTTGTGGCAAGCGCCCTAGTCAGCAAGTTTATTTTGTTCTGCATTCTGCAGAAACCAATTCTATACCCCTAGTATCCCCAAATGATCCAAATGCCCCCCACGCACATATACCCACATCAGCATTTGTCAGGCGACTTCAAGTTTCTCAGTTGGTTGGACACCCTCTGGGGAAAACACACCAAGTTTGCCGGTTGACCAACTCAGCAAAGACCGCTGGCACCTGCTGGCAGCATCACTCGAAGCACATCGAAGCACCAAACTGAAAACCAAGACCGGTGATAAGCGATGTTTGGTGATGGAGACTCGACTGGCCAAACGCATGAAAAGACGCACGCGGTGACCTAGGTTGACGACACCGAGCACGGGAGCAACGCGACTAGACGACTAGACATCCGGCCTCCAAGAAATCTATTCCGCAGACTCATGTCAATGTGGCCTCCGGGTTTCCTGATGTTTCCTGCTTTGCGCCTCAAGAGCTTTCTTGCGCATCGGCGAGTGAAAGATGTCTTGTCGATGCCAGGAGCTCATGGATTTCAGGCGTGGGACGGCGCCGAAGACGCTGCGCAGTGACCAAGCCAAGGGAAGATGGTAGTCGAGACAGGGCTGACCTCTTCGTGTTTTGGTCATTTCGGATCGGTGATCGGAAGGTACGACATACTACTCTGGCCTTGTGCTTGCTTCCTGAAGTAGTTTCTCAAGCGCTCAGTTTCACATCCTACATCAAAAAGCACAGCAGACTGTATACATACATATTCATAGGTCGGTATATTATGTATACATGCTAGAATTGTTCAATTTCCACATGACAGTGACTCCTAGTGACCTAGTGTCAACCGCAACATCCGTTTCTGTGCTTCTGTGCTTAAGCGTAAAGCCAGGCTTTTCTTTCTCCACGTGGTCCGGAGGCACAGCCCTATCCAGCCTGCGGCTTATGAGCGGCCTAAGCCGATCAGCTGGTCTGGAGGCCGAAGTCGAAAGGGCGGGGTCCGTGAGTTCCGTGTCGAAAGTTGATGAAAGTTGAACCTTTGGAAGAATACTCCATGGAAGACACAACTTAAGTGAATAACACATCTGAAGATGCTTGCAACTCCAGCGCAACAGTAAGCATCTTCGGCTTGTTTGTTTCTGGTGACCAATCCAGAGTGACTTGGTGCCTGTGTCATTCGGAATCCAGACTACAAGCTCAACAACTACGACTACGAAGAGGTTCTCAACCAAGAGGACGAGTGACTACTGGCACGATCGGACGGGGTTAGCAATGGCAGGAGTTGCTTCTGACGTCCTTGTATGCGGTAGTACCAGTAGTACCAGTAGTAGTACCAGTAGTAGTAGGAGGAGGAGGACGAGGAGGAGGAGTAGGAGTAGGAGTAGGAGTAGGAGTAGTAGGAGTAGGAGTAGGAGTAGGAGTAGTAGGAGTAGTAGGAGCAGCAGTAGTGGTAGCCAGAGTAGCAGTAGTGGTGGTAGTGTGAAGTGGACATTCTTTGTGTTCAAGCTGCGGACACGTGAGCCGCAGGAAACACGGCTGAAGCTCACCAAAGACCTTCTGATTTATGGAGCTGCATTGGTCCAAGGCGTACCAAAGGAGGGGATTGAAACAAGACACGCAATGTCTGGTTTGTCAGGTGCAATCGGGGCACTCTATATAGTTTGGATTGTGTGGAAAAGGATATCCTTGATCTGAAGAGAGGAAAACAACCAGCGTCAAGCAGCTGAGGTTTATCACGGCCCAGTTGAAGCATGACTCATGAGATCCATAGCTGACATAGACATAGCATTATGACATGGCCAACAATTTGTGGGAGCAGCATTGCACATCTTGCGCGGGGCTAAGCGGTCTGGGGAGTAGACTCAAATTTCAGTGATTTCTTGGTGTCCAAACTCCCATTGCAGAAGTCGTCAATGGATTTGAACTCGTACAATCGACTGACCTGGTGAGTTTGTGGATCTTGCTCAACTATTTGACCTGCAAGAAACTGACCTAAAGCCAGGTGCATACAGACACCGTTGTCGAACCGCTGTCAATCCGTAGATGTTTGCGAGGAACATGGCATTGTGATTGAATTTGGAAAGAACTTGAGCACTTTGCGACAGACTGAGTGGGGGCCCTTCTTCAATGTTCGAACGAGCCTCGGTCGATCAGTCGTCAACTCCGTCTCAGACACCCAGAGACCGCGACTGGAACTGCGGTCTGTTTGATCCGAAGGGAAAATAACCCACACCTTTTGGACCTAAAGACTCGACAGAATCACATGTCACCGTTGAAAAATGGAGAGACATGGCAGTGAAACAGCCTGTTTTCCTGTGAAACACACTGTGCAGTTCTTTGACTTTAGAATCTATACCGTCCAATGGATAAGCATACAGATCTATGGAGGGACATGTTTTTGGGGTGTACGTACGGATGAAGGAGGGCTTCAGCAGCCTTCAGCATCCTTCAACTGGTTCTTGGATTACCAACTACCCTGTACATCAACGTATGGGTTGTATATGGTTGTTCCCTTCCAAAGCGGTGAATATATGGCATCCAAGTATCAAAATATGTCCAACATGTTCCTTAGGGTGAGTGTAGGTAAGCATCGGTCTTCGGATGCTGCATGACATGCAGAACTGCTTGCATTTGATGTTGGTCCTAACCAAAAAACAGTTGTGAGTCGGTGTGTGATGCTTTGCTTCAAAGATCAAAGGGATCACCCCCCCCCAAAAAAAAAAAACAATTGGAGTCTGTCGTGTTCTCAATTTGTTTTCCCGTCGGAAACCGAGCAGGAAGCAGCGCCGGGAACATTGTTCTTGTTTGTAAACCTTTCTTTCTTGGTGTTCGTGGCAAATAGTTTGATTGCAACATACAGATATGATATGATTATATGATCTCAAAGAAGCACGAAAGAATGGACGCTAGATAACATGGTGTGCTGTTTGCGGAATCTGTGTTTCAGGAAGATTGTCAGTTCACGCAGGTGCAGTTTTTACGCATTTTTACGCATCTCTGGAGAGCCATCCCTGAGGATGTTCAGACCCCAAGCCAGCGCCATGTCGGTGTTCAACAGACCCCAAATTCCCAAGTAGCAACGCGGCTCGGGCCCCTCGGGCTTGGCCGTCAACATCCGTCAACGTTGATGCGGGGTCGAGGTAATAGATTCTTTTTGTGATGAATCTGAATGTGCTAGTTTTTCCAATGTGTTCCATCTTTGAAGTTGGACATGTTGGGAGATCTTTGAAGTGACCAAATACAGATGGACTGCTGTTCCTCGGGTGCAAGAAGCCCCAGGAAGCCAGATGGGGAGCAAAGCGGTGGCGCTACAAAGCTCCTTCGCTGCAGAGCTGGCTGGGGCTGGTCTGGTCTGTTAACGATCATTGGAGGTTACATGCATTCCTGAGTAATGCAGCTTGTTGATGAATAACCCCCGCAAGGTTGAAGATGTAAAACCATTCTGGAGACACGGGTGTGATGTTTCAATCAAGCATCTACATCGGTGGTACATGATTTGTCCATATCGGCGACTTGCCCATGTCGGCTAAGACTTTAGAATAGGTAGCAATAGCAATGACGCCTTCCTGGGTGAAGTTCACCCCGGCAATGGTGCAGGGGTTCTTCACCTCTTCATGGGCAATGCTATCCATGGGCCAATGCAGGGTGCATTGGAGTGCACAGATTTTCCAGGCTCTAATCTTTCTGGCTCTTGTGCCATCCCTGAGCCATTGCCGCGCCGTGAACTGGACGTGGTTTAAACGCCGTGAGATGCTCCGGAGCCGTGGATTGTATCGATGTCCGCCGTGAGCCGTGAGCTGCCTGGTACATCCTTGCTACTAGTAACAAGAGCATCGCTACCAACTGAGTCAATATTGTTTTTCCTGGCGGATTGTGTCATCTTGGGCCCTGGAAAAAGCTCTGCATGTGCCACCCGGCATGTCATTTTGTGCTTGGAGATCATCTGACGGGGGTTTCGTGGAATCTTAATTACTCTGGATGAATCCATGAACGGTCTCTTTTTTCGAGCAACATTCCTAACATGGTGTTGCTGCCAGTACAGTATACTCTTTTCTATATGAGTCGAGCCATGGCTCGGGATTGCTTTTAGAAGTGTCTCAGGCGGGATTTGGCCTACACTCCTCGGGCCATCGGATTTCACACCGACAACCCGTACCGTGATCCCACACCCGTCACTTGGAAGCAAGATGTGTAGCTCAAATAGGGAGACGGTAACCCAGGCAACGACCCCCGCGTACAAGGACAATAGACCAACATCCCCCCAGAAAAACAGATTGTTTGTTATTTGGGCTGACAACCAGGGATTGTTTGATAGCCACAAGTTTTGGAGGCCAACGAGAATGCTTGCCATTCACAGATCGATGCTGCAATCTATTGTACGTGAGTATAAACTTCTATGTATTTCTATTGTCGGCACATCAGCTGTCTCTATTTGATGACATTCACAGCCTAAAAAGATGAAAAGCAAAAGGACAGCATCATCAGGTGATTCGGCGGGGTATCTACAACTCGTAGAGTTCCCCGATGGCAGGATTTCCAGTTGTTGCACGCCTTGGAGCACTGCAGCTGCCAGACGGCGCCGCGGAGCATTGGTACGAATCACCGGAAGCCGGAAGGAGATCCTTCAACACGGCCCTCGGGTAGGGGCGTGTTGAGAGGGAAACTTTAAGTTGTCCTCCTAGTTTGTCACACATCCTTGTGTTGAAGCATGAGTAGGGCGGATAGGTGCAAATTTGCGAGAATTTGTTCAGTCAACAAACATGCCGACTTGTGGGACCCATTGTGGGACAATCCTGTTTCTAGCAGAGAATGCGGAGAATGGCTTTCCAGGGGTCAGATTTAACTTTCATTTTTTGGAGGAAAGGTATGATGTAAGGTGCTAATGTAAGGTGCCTGTTGTTTTACAATGTCTCAAAGGGAGTTTAACTCCTGCTTGAAGTGACATCATACTGTACCGACGAAACAAGAAAGTTATATAACGTAAACTTTGACCTTGAAAATTATGTACCGTCAACATGAGAAGACTTTGTTTGGTTTCCGCCAGATGCCTGACTGTTTGGACAGAATAACTGCCTTTACAATGCCATGCTGGATGGATGGTTAAAGGAGACAACATGGTATTTCGGAACGACAAGCCGTTTAATGTTTCTTGCTGATTCTTGCTGTTTGTATATTGCGTTCCGGAAACCTCAACATCTGACGATAGGAAGACCCCTTATTTGACCAACCTTTTCACAAGAAAGAACTAGGCCAAGGTGTTTGCTGGGTTTGCCATTTCTTCAGACTTCTATAAACATTTGCAGCTGGAACCTCCGGGGGACCTGCCGACAGAACATTGTACTGGACTGGACTCCAAAATGTTCACGTGACGTTTTGCGTTCAGAATAGCGAGAACCATCGCAGAACCAGATGAGACTCACCGTGAAGTCCCGATCGTGATTGCCCCCAGCAAACATGATGTTCTGCAAACATAGCACCAGTGGTTGACATGTTCTGCTACTAGACATGTGAAGCTGACTGAGACGTGCACACACTGCGGAAAGAAGTGAACACACACAGCACATGCTCTCAGGCCCCCTGCGAGAGCTGCTCCGTTGCTGGGCTCGCGCCGGAACGGTCGATGGAGTGGAGCAGGAACCGCGGGAATCGTCGGGTGGTGGACATGGACCCAAAGGATGTTAAGGACCCAAAGGACCCAAAGGACCCAAAGGTCCTGGCATGGATCAAAATGAATTCAGGTCAGGAAGACCACCAAGATGACATGTGGAAGACCCCCAACCAAGGGGTTTTGGTCAAAATTCCTACTTCCAGAGGGTGAGGGTCTTCCGGAGGTTTCCCTTTTCTAATTCACATCCGTGTCAGATGTTCCCCACAGCTCAGGTTGGTATCAATCGAATCGATGTTCTCCCAGTTTGGGGGTTGTCTTTCGGATGCTTAGCAGATGCTTCAAGCTCATCCACGACTTGGGGTCTACGTGGGGACCTTGTTAGCTTGTCTCTTTTCGTCCAACATCGATTCGTTGAGTGCTGATGTTGTAATGTGCACAATGGACCACCCTGAGTGCCTCTAGTAGGTTGTTGCTATGGCAGTTTGGGGAGGATATGGTTCAAGCGAATCGATCGTGTCGTTTGGGCAAATCTTTACAGAAACGTGAATGTAGCGGGTTTGGCTTGCAATCACACGAGCGGGATCCTCTGTTTAGAGGCATATGCAGCGCAGATGAAAGGACAAACTCACGCGAAGAACACGACACTGTTAAGGGTGATGTTGGTTTTATGATGCCCCCCCGGGGATTTGCCTTTTTTATTTATTGGTTTAGTTTCCTTTGCTGCTGATAAGTGAGTAAGTGCAAAGGGTGACAATGAGTTGGGTAGCTAGGTGGATCTGAGCAAATTATATATGTTATTGAAGCTGGTAACATTGAAGCATTGCTAGTCGCTAGTCCCATTGGCTGTGACCATTTTGGCCAAAGGCATCCTGTCTGTTTGAAGCAACACCCCAACAGTTTTTGTCAGACAGGCAAAGAAAAGGAAACTACTCAGGTTCTGAACTATTTGGTGGATGGCTTTTACATTGCTGAGCAGCTGAAGAGACTAGTCTTGCAGCAAACTCGTTTCCTGCGTTCCTTCGAAGCAGAACCAGCGCATTTATTCGCTTCATCGAATTTCACTGTTTGAACCCGGCAGCTTTCCTCGCCGGGGGAGGCTGGACGCTTGGAAAGAGACCAGCAGTGGGAGATTGATTTGCATGAATCGTAAACTAAGGCTTTTGGCCAAGCATACTTTTTGTTTGAAATGGAGCCCTTCCTTGATGTCTCATGTTCATGCTGCAATCCCGATTATTCCAAACATGTCTGCCGTTAGTGACCAGTAGAGCGGAGCAGAGATTTGTTTTGTTGCCTCCTTTGAGGAACGAGAGTTCGGAGAGCTATGATTTGCTTAGCTCTTTGGCGTCAATAGCTCTGGTTGGTGAAGACTTCTGAGTCTTCCTGCAGGAGTTCCATTTCCCCTTCAGCGGAGTTTTGCTTTGTATTTCCTTAAGCTGGCACATGCTGGATGTTTTTGGATGATGGTTCCCTTTCTGGGCGGGCTACCCTGAGATGCATGAAATTAATGAAATCAATCCTCCAAGAAAGACAAGGAGAACAAGCGGTTTGAGGGTGCGGGGGGTGCAGAGAGTCTCTCAGAGAGGCTTTCTTGAGCCAACCAATACACTCCCCAGAATAGTCACGGAAGTGGAAAACCACCCTTCTGTAGAGAAAAACTGTAATCCTAGGGACCGTTTTCAACTTCCATGATTATTTCAGGGAGTGTACGTGCACATAGTGGAGCCAGGAGGTATTTTATTTGTATATATAATATATACTTATGGTTGTTGTAATCTAATCGATGTTGATCACTTGAGAACATGTTGAGGGTCCAAGTTTGCTAATTGGTTCACAGGCCAAAACGAGCAAGTTGATTAGAAAGCAAAAAGCCGGCAGGTTCAGACTTCATTCAGTCATAGACAGTCCATTTGCAACTATAGTTCGGATATGTGCGTATGCTTTCTTTGCCTTTTTTGCTCGCTCTGGAATCACAGGGGCTGTTTGTAAGACTTGTTGTCGAAGGTCGATCTGAATCCCAAAGGGCCAATCTTCGCAGCTGGTTTTTGTGGCTCTCCCAGAAGTCTCATTCCCATACCATCCATGTACCTTACAACATCTTACATCACCCCAATTGTAGGCCACTATTCCATACATGGATACATCTGGTGGTCTTTGGTAGTGAATGAAGGGCCATATTTGCTTGACATGGAGCGTTTGGGATTGGATCTTCCGGCAGCATCTGCATCTCGAGGGATGGTGTCGTCCACTCCCAGACGAGGTTCCGGAGCAAAGGCTTGGGATGGTCCACTTACATGTGTCCTAACGTGTGACCATCACATGTACCAAAAGAGGTTAAGCGACCTGACAAAGGACCCGTTAGCTGGGGTACCCAACGGGGATAGTCGAACCTATGGGATATATAGTCAACCTCTGTTGGTAGTTTCAGAGGATTGACCGTCATGGAGACGCAGATCATCGTAGCTTAGATACGGTCAATCCTCTGGTCACAGATACGCACATCTTCACTGGACAAAGCATCACAGTGGCACTGATGGGCCAAATTTTGCCGTCAGGGTCTGTCTCGAACGGTATCCAAAGGTCGATGATAGGAGAAGGGCCGAGAAAGGGTACCAAGAAAAGAATGGCAACCATACAGTATTGGCATTCGTTCTTGGCCAAGTTGGTGTCCGAAGACATTGAGGCCTGTTGAAGGCAAAGAAAGCTTGGACACTGAACAGGCATCGTGCTTGCGTTGAACTGAGAGCATGGAAGAGATGCAGCTGCTTCCCCGTGTTCCCCATCGAAAAGGTTCAGCTGGGAGGATGCACAGCAACTCCATCTTGACTCTTGACAAACAAGTTCTTGTGCAAGTCTCAGTTTCCACAATTGCTGAACCTTCAGAGCACGATATGGCAGCTGAGAAGACCTGCAGTCCGGCCACCTCACCAGGGTGTTGCCCGGCCACGTGGCGGCCACGTGTTGTTTCCTGGTCGACCACTCAGTCGGTGTTCGACCGCTCGGGCGGTCGACCGATGTCGTGTCGAGGAAGCAACCTGGTGATGTCAACTGGAGAGGAGTCCTCTCCATAAGGAGACTGTAGAGGACTCCTCTCCATCAATACCTAATCAGTACTTCTCTACAACTCCTCTCCTGGTCAGCAACTGTAGAGGGCTTCTCGTCAATTCCACCAAACCTATCCAAATCTCAAGTCATCCTGTCAACAGATCCCCAGCTCCATATATCGGCAGCGTGTTTGAGAACTTGCACACCCTCCAAGCCTCGAATCACCAGTAGTTCTCAGTTCTCAGTGGGTATTTGGTGAATCTCCCAGTTGCCCTCTACTTGCAAGTGCACGCCTGCTATTTTTATTTCTTTACAGGTGGTGGATCATGTGGCACCATACCATGTTCCCATCCGCCTTGGCTGAGGCAACATCTCAGCTACTTGTCGGGAAGCAGTGTGACTGGCACTTGTTGCTTTTCAAGTTTGTAAAGATACCACACAGGGTAACTACTTTCATATTTAAGCACATGTTGACAGGCTGTTCCTAAAATATTGGCAAGATTTGATCGTACGACTTGGGTATATAAAGATCCAAATAACATCAAACTATATAACCGTTTGTTCAAATTGCCTCATTGCCTCACACCATCATCCTTGCCTCATTTTCAGCATAAAGATGTCATGGGTGGAGAGCACCTCTGGTGGAGAAAACATAGCAAGTCCGCAGGTGCGCTTTGAGAACAACGGAGGAGATGGGAGCAGCGCTTTGGTCCACTTCTCTCCACACTTAGAGATTCTTGGCAGCGGATGATCACCTGTGGAGGTTCAACCCCCGTTGGTAAAGGTCTTATCTCTAAGCATGTACTGTAGCCAGCTGTAGCAACAAAAAAGTTAAAACAATGTAAAGAGCTAAGAGTTTCACTTATTTTTGACAAGTTCTTCAACAGTTGCATTGAAACAAGTTCCCAACAAAAAATGCCTGAACAGTATGAAATATACAGTTATATATATATACAGTATATGAATCTCAATGCTGAGCTTGGGTGTTCACATGCTGTCAAGGTGTTTTTTTCGATCGAAGGCTGGACACTTCGGAAGATGCTGAGGGCATCAGGCCACTCAAGGCGCGCTGAGAACTTCCGGCTAAGTCGGGGCAACAAAGACCACAGTGGTACAGTGACAGAGGTGGCTACAGCACATGATGAAATGATGCTTTCCACGCTTTTCAGCTTTGTCATTGTCTTTTGCAGGCTGGAATACAGCACGTCCATCGGGGAAAAGAGATCACTGCGGGTGAAAACATCTACCCTTTGTACAAGTTGTGTCATCGAATTCCCTGTTTGCCTCCTTCTCTTTCCTCTCTTCTCATGGTTCCGGCCGACTACTCGCAGACTCGTAGGCGGTTCGATTCTCAGCCAAGAGTGGTCAGCCGGGGCACTCAGACGCTTGGGGAGACGCTTTTGTCATACCTCCAGCAAGGCATGTAGTTCCGAAGAGAATACATTTGGGGTCTTTTGGTTCGAGTGTGTCTAGAAAGACTTATATATACAAATGACATCTAACAACTACTAACATGGGATTCAATGTAATTCAATCCTCCTATGAGTCCGCAGTCTGGGAGACGACGTGTTTTGGGGGGATCAATCACCGGACATTTGCATGCCTCCGCCTCCGCCGAACCTCGCAGCGCCCAAAGCACCTGCTTCGGCCTCTCCGGGTTCGAAATGATGTGCGAATGGTTGGTGCCACTAGTCTCCTGTGATGAGCCTTAATCCAAATGAGTGGTGTTTGGGAAGTGCTGCCCCCGTGGCCCTGCGAAGCGCCACCCCCGGAAGGCTGCGCAGAGGTGGGATGAGGAAGGGCCACCCCCTGTTGCAACAGGTTTTAATTGGTGATTAGTGAGTTTTAGTGAGTTTGAGGAGTTTTACGAAGAAGACCGTTCGAGGTTGCAGCTCAAGTAAGAAGATCGGTTAATCAAGACCTTTGTTATCTTTGTTGGTTCGGTTTGCTTCTTTTGGTTTGCATCATACGTGACCACGCATCGATGAATATCCGTACACACAGCGAGGATGCATTAATGGGGTGTCCTTTGCAAGTTCTTGTCTTGGCAGGCATTCCCCCTCTCCCTTCAGCCCAAGCGTTTTTGGCATCTAGCGTCCTTGAGTGTTGAGATCAAAACTCATGATTCGATCAGACATAAGATCGTTTCAAGCAACCTCCTGACCTGCTCATACCTGCTCATGTGTCGCTCAAATGTATGCCATCCAATCTTTCAGAAGCGCCCCGCCCGGACCGCTCCGGGCATCGGAAGGGTCCGTGGACCGACCGGTTGACACTCCGACACTCCATGCCACTGCCATATATGCCGATCAGTTGGCATGTATACAATACATGGAGTGTTTGGGACAGAAAATGAACTGAATGCTCCTACTAGTGAGGTCAGCCTACCAGGGTCAACTGGGCTCAGGCCGGTTTTGATGCGCAGCCAGGCCGGAAGTGCTTCGTTCCGTTCCGCTCAGGTACGCTCCGCCGATGGACTTGCAGACCACCACCAAATTCTACAAGGCGTTTGGTCATGCAACGTCCCAGCCGTATCAGAAACTGGACACGTCAATGGGACGTGTTTCTACCTGACGTGTTGTCTATTTTTGTTTGTTATTTTCTCAAGATGGCGTTGTGTTTGGTTGTTTGCATGTTTTCCTTCCGCTAGACTTTGACAGACACTCTTTTGTGTTGCGCCAGACGTATATGGGGATGCTTTATAGCCCATCAGGCCATTTTGTTTTAAGACATATCCATTGACAAACTACTTGAACAGGGGAAACTTGGACTTTGAACTTTGAACTGTAGATAGTCGTATGATTTCTTGGAGGGAGGGTCCTGAGTCCTGTTTGTTTGACAAAAAGACACTGGCCCAGCACCATCGAGGCTCGGCGCCGCTTCTCTGCCCTGGCCCACGAGCCAAAGACGCTAGGCAGTCAGACGAAGATCTTTGATGAATCAATGGTGACTCCATAGAGATGCATTTGGACTGTGGTGAATCTTCTAATTCAGCCTATGAGATGTTGGAAATTCCGCTCTAGGAAAGGTTGGAGTCAACAAGGTTACGTCATGTTGCGTCACATCACGTTTTACTGAGCTATCATGAACCAACTGTATCTCTCCGGGCTCCAGCCGGGTGGAGCTTTTTGTAGGTTCAGAACTCGCATAAGCCGATGAGATCGGTCTCCGTCAACGCACCCTATAGACTGCCATCGGTTGCCCCTCCCTCTCCCCTCTTTGTCTCTTTCTCTCTGAGCCATATTGAGCCATGCTACTGGTACGGTGAACTCCAAACCCATTCGCAATTTAGGAGGCGTTGATTCCCCCGTGAAGCTACTGGTAGCAATCTCCAAGTTAGGTGGTCGCTCTGTTAGTGGATACAGGATACGGTGGGTGTTTGGTTTCGTCGGTCTTTCTGTCATAGCCATAGCCGTTTGACTGGTTGGTTCTGTCTCCGAGGAACGCCGTGGTGATGCAGTTCAAGCCCGGTGAAATCTTGGTCTCCCGGTGGAGCATCAGCGAGTTGAACATTATTATATTATAATATATATATATACACTGTATATTAATATATTAGCAACATATATATATATTATATTATGTATATATATTTTTAAAAATAAAATACATATATATATGTATATATAGTTACTTGGTACCTGTCACTTGGCATATGCTGTATGCCAGTTTTGCTTTTGATTGATTTGGTCCCTTGGATTTGAGGTGAATCATGCCAGTCAAGGGTGGGCCTGATGGGGAAAGCCACATGTTGTGAGTCAGTTGGAAAGTTCCGTGTGCATGGTACTTAGAGAAGCTGATCCACTTGATGTTTCCCTAAATCCCAGGGTGGCCTTCTTGATTCTTCCCAAGCATAGGTCGTTTTGGATCTTTGGTGTTGCAAACTTCCTTTTCAACCAATTTGGTTGACATTTGTTGAACAAGAACTCCTGAATCTTCACCTGTAACAAATTCCGCATGTCCCTCCGAACAGATCAACCCAACACACGCACAAACAATAGCGAAACAGTCCGCGAAAGAAACACCCGGTTTGACCCACGACTCGTGGCTCGTCTTCCCTCGTCTTCCGGCGACGGTGACGCTTTCGACGGTGCCCGGATTGCAGGTCTTTGACAACCGCCGGATCCTGCACGCCCGGTCTCAGATTTTGCCTACGGATGGCGAGCGATGGGTGCAAGGCGGGGCGGGGAGGATTCCAGATGAGCAGATGCGGGGAGGGGAGGGTTCGATGCAAGATGCAGATGTGTGAGAGATTTCGATCCCAGTCAGGTGAATCAGGACTTCAAGATCATTGCATTGGTCGTCTTGTTTTCACGCATCGCTTCACAAATTTCCGACTTGAAGATCACGACATGTGTGTGAATATCCCCCGGCCTTGGAACCCTCATCATTTCAACGGAGGAATGGTGGACTGGAACTGCCTTTCCTGACCCTTGGACGGGCAAAACCTCCCGCCCATGCCACCCGGAATAGGGCATTTTCTCCGAACTACCTGACAAACGGACCAAAACGGCGTTCATTCCGGTCGGTGTGTTTTGACCGCCTTTCGCGGTCCGGGCCGGTCCGCTTGGCCACGTACCGAGGCGCCTACATCGACCGGGCCGCTGGGACGGAGGGATGGCGCTGCAGGTGCACCTTTTTTGAGGGAACTGCGAACACTTACAAAAGCATACAAAAGCTAACTTCCAGATGAAAGAGAGCCGGGTTTCAGACGTTCAGAAGATGGTTTTCGTGGTGCAATGGGTCCGTCACGGTCCGAAATCCGAAATCCAAATGTACATTCCATTACATTCCTCTCACAGAACCCGAAACAACGGTGTTTGGACCCGAAATCCAGAGGTTTCCGGGGCACCCGTTCCCGGTAGGTTCCAGGTAGACGCTCCAGGTCAACGCTCATGAGAGAAGCGGTTTGAACGAGGGAAGATTTGAAGAACAAATCGAATGTGATCGATTGTGGACATGATGTTTCCTTCTGTCAGACAGGTATCAAGAGTACGTAGGATTACATATAAAATGATTACCTGTTAGTCCTCAGTAGTTGAAGGAAATCCCGTCACAAAAGCTTCCTGTTGGGGTTGTGTGCGATGGTGGATCTTGAACTGAAACAGCCTGAGGACGGCCTTTGGCTGGCCTTTGAGCGGTTGCGACGGCGGCAAGCGCAGCCGTTGGAGTAGATGTGTCTCTCTGAGGATCTCCGAGTTATCTGAAGAATGTGTCTCTTAGAATTGAGTTTCTATCTCAACCCTCTTCGGAACCCATTGGCGTTGAGATATGTTGAGATGCTTCGTTCTTGGATAATATTGACCTGTGGGCCTGTCAGGGCAGCTTGACGTACACAGTGCTTTACACATTATTTGCCTGTGAGAGGAGAGGAATCACAGGCGAGACTAACCCCCATGCCATGCAGGACCCTTAGAATAAGCCGTATAGATCACTTAGATTCGGTATCTAACTTGATTTGTCTTGGATGTTGTTTGTTTCTTCTTCTACTCTCCGGTTCCGACATCAGAGAGTTCAGGCATCTTGCCACAACATTGGCATCTCCGGCGGAAACAAACGCACATTGTTTGGCCTCCTCTGTATGAAGCAGATATGGTCCATCATTGGGTGTAAAAGCAAAATTAAGGAACAATATTATTGTGCTTTGACTCTAATGCGAAGGGGCAATAAGAGAAGGTTCGGAGAGATTCCAAAGGCACAGACACATCAGGCTTTGATTTGATATTATAATTCACACTCATCCCCAGCATGGTAACCAAAGACTGTGCTTGGGATGAGATTCTGGGCGTCACGCAATACCCTATTCCTGTGACATCCAGGTATATATACGTATGTTCAGGAGACGCTGTGGCAGCAACCGTTGAGGATGGGCTCACATGATTGGTTGTCGAGGAGTGCTCGGGGGTACCCAGAATCGATACGATTGAGGTCCATGCACCCAAGCGCACCCAAGTCTTCTATGTTGCCTGATGGCCAAAATAGCTTGTCACCGCCTGCTGTTGTCAAGGCCTGGAGCTTGAAACCCTCTTCACTATGGACTATGACTATGGGTTTGTATCACCTCAACAATATGACGCTGCACTGCTAAAGCAAGCCAATGACCAGCTTCTTTCAGATTACTATCACTGAGCAATGCTGAGCATGTGGTAAGGATCAAGGACAGAAGTAAGGGATCTTCCACGGTTTCTGCTTTGCACTTTTGTGCCGATACCACGACCGCAAGTACCTCACTATGTTTCACCCTATTCTGATGGGAAGGAGCCACAAACCTCTTCTTCACAGGTGCACGTTCAAGGCTTCAATGAACTGTGTTTGTTTTGCCAGACGACGCCGAACGACTGCCACGGTGCTGCTCTCATTTTTGGCTTTGACTGTAGTTCTGGCCGGCGTAGCCAGACGTTGGCCGTCGGACGTCTGGCGACCGTGTGATTGCGGATGTCTCAGAGGCTGAGGAGACGAGAGCGCGAGTGAGGGTGAACACAGAGCTGCGGAGAGCAATCAAAACGAGTTGGGCACCGTCCCCCAAGTCTGTGACAACCCCCGTCTTCCCAGCGCGGTCAATCGCCGGCGCGATGGTCTCGTCCGTTTGAATTCAGCTGGGAAAAGCCCAGCGGACTGCCTTGAGGGATGGCCAAGGGCAACGAGTGCAGATGCCACTAAGTCACCGGTGAACATGACGATGTGGTCAACCAAGTTGCTCAGGGTTCTGGACGAACCACTCGTTGCACATTCACTTGGAGCAACCTGGAGCAACTGCTGTCAATGGGGGCAGTTTGGGACATATGCAGCAATGGAAATAGTATATTCTGTAAAGCATCGTCAGCATACTTGTTTGTTTTGCAATAATCATCGGTGACTTATTTTTTCCACTGGCAATTTGCAACGTGCTGAGAGTTGAGTATGGGTCAGAAGCAAATCGAGTCAACACAGGAACATAGTTACGTTCGAAGCACCGACGAGGGGACACCCTTCGCTCGAGCACGCAGCGATGCAGAGGTATCGCGTTGCGACGCTTACATCTTGAGAATCAGCTTGAGTTGGTCCAAGCTGTCATTGACTGATGACAACAGCCGCTCTTCTGGACACATTTGCTGCCATTTCAGCCTCAAGAGTTTATGTCACGCAACATGACTGCCCAAGTCCGTCCAAGTCCGTATCCTGAAGCTTTCACAAAGTGTTTTGACAGGGTTGCTGGATTGTTGAAACATCACCAACTAATAATTTGACGCTAGTCCTCGTTGTTTCTTTAAATTCAACAGGTACAGTGATAGTGTGATTCAAAGGGCTTTAATTTGCCACATGGATCAATTTTTGATACTGGATAGTTACGGTAGATGATGCATATGTCATACCGGTTTTTCATGACGTTGGAGGGTTGAGTCGCTTGAACCGTGAAACAGAACCGAAGATGCTAGGCCAACATAGGCCAACAGTATCCAACAGGGTACCAACCCTGTTGACAATTTAAACAGTATTTGCACTGGGGCAGTATTTGGAAATCCTGTCCAACAAGGGATCAACCCTTCAGCTTGTGGTCCTGGGAGCAATGGGTTCTTGGCGGCCACCGCGTGGTCCGCTCTGGTGATTGCACCTTTTTTTTGTTCTTTTCGGACGTGCGGAGAACGGGAAGCACCGGGGACATCACTTTTGCACCCTTTGCCGGATTCAAGTGCTCCCCGAAAAGTCCGCCCTGGTGATTGAAATGATATAGAAAACCATTCGATATTCTGGAGGAAGTTCTCAGTGGACATGTTGGGTGGTGTCTTGGGCTCGTCCGTCGGTGGGATTCGTCGCGACGGGACCCGGCTTCCACGGCGTCAAGGGTTGGTTGATCCAACGGAGGTTGAAGAACCCTATAGACTCATAGACTATCCCATATGCCCCAGGTGACGGGTCCTTATAAGGTCACTTAGCCTTTGTTGGATGGTCCATTGTTTGTTTTCAATAGTTTGTCGATCGTTTTGAACGGTGTTTGAAGCAAAAGGACAGGCACCAATTGATCTATTCATACTTCATCACAGCACGGTCCATGTGACCAGTTGAAGATATAATGATGAAGATCTTTTCTGGGATGATACAGGGGGATGATTTCTGGGTCATGGAGGTCATTACATATCATCACATGATTTGTGTATACATATACAACATCAACCATCCTGAAGTAGAGAATATGAACCAATCCGAGAATCTGATGTGTCCTTAGCTTTTTGATGCACATTTAATTTCCCCACATATTCCATCTATCTTCCATCGAACTACGCTCATGAGTTCTATTTGTGTCAGAAACACGGCCGAACTGGTGTTGACTCCAGTCTTCGCCAGGTCGGCGGGCCAGCGCCAGTGGACCCAATGGACGGACCCGTGGGTCGCGTCTCCAGGAAGGTCGGATCCGATTCGGAAGATGGAATTGGAGTGACACCCCCGCCTGATCGGCCGATCTGTTTTCACCCCCGCCTGATCGGCCGATGGGTTTTTGAAAAGACTACGACTCCAGCGACTCCTCCGCTGCAAGGGTGGAGATCTTCGGAATTTCCTACAGATGCCCATGGGCCAAAACCGGGAGACCCTGGAAAATGATCAGAATCGGCTTAATTAAGGAGATACCAGGGTCGTAAGGCTCCCGGATTTGACCCACAGTCAAACACTTCGTCTCGCAGACGCAATCCTCTAGAAGTTCCCAGAAACCACTCTTGCAACTGCCTGATGGACTCGCGGCCGGCTCAAGCATTTTTAAGGGTGAGTTACCGCACTCACTTGGTATCGGGCACACATTGGTCCTGCGGGCGCGGACCAGACCATGAACTACCCATTCTTGCGCGTACTCTGCATGATTTTCCCCTTGGTGGGCTCAGAGTCGTGCTTTGACGACGGAGTACCTGAAGAGGAGTTCCTCGGCGGAAGAGTCCGAGTCCCGGTCCAATGCAATTCACGCGGAAGAAGCGTTGCCATGCAGCATCGAAAAGCATGGAACATATGACCATTCTAAACCCAAATGGTTCCACAAGGAAAGAACGGATGATTTCAGGATCTTTCTTTTCAGACCTTCTAAATACGGGGAGCTTTCATTGCCCAACCACGTGGTATAAGCACTGCCAACTACAGTGAAGATGCTTGACAGATGAAGCCTGCGGAGGGTGGTGCTGTTCGGGGCGCGCTTGCGCATCTCTAAGAGAAGTGAGCAGGTTAGAAGTTAGAAGGACAGATTAATTAATGATTAAATATTCCCTCAATTGTTTTGAATCAATCACTGGACACCAAGACACCGTCCAGCACATGCGCGAGTCGGCTGTCGCCGCTAAAAACGATGGTCGGTCTAATTCCCAGAATATCACTCCGTTCAAGCTGCTAACAGTAGACATTTGGTGGAAGAGCCGAATCTATAATGCTTTCCAGAGTTTGAATTACTTTGAGTTCACAGTGTCCCAGCTGCCTGGCCAGCTGCCTGCTTTGCTGGCTCTCCCAACGAATTCTCAGCCCGGCTGAGGCGCAAGTTGCTCGTGAATGGGAAGGAGACACGAGCAGATCTTGAGCACAAGCTAACATGGAACCTGAAAATATCTCAAACTGTTCACATTGGAACATACTGGAAGATGTATACAATTACTACATATTACATATTTTGTTGTCTATATCGTCTATATCTATTCAATACCTTAGATGTGTTGTTTCCAAATTTAAAAGAGCCAGCCAGGGAGTCATGTTTACTTTGTTCCTGGTGATCTTGCTCTTGCTAGCACTCGCCTTTTCTTCGATCATGCCTTTGGGCAGACCAAAACCAGCCGGCCAGCTTTTCAGCTTGTGCGCTGCTCAACTCCCAAGACCCGCAGCAGGAAAAATACCCCTTGGGCTTTTGGGTGAATGATTGGTCTGCCGGCCATGCGACGGTACAGATGATGCGAATCCTCGTCGAGGAGAGGGGACGACCAAGCGCATTTCGACGAAGCACGGGGTGGCCGTTAACCCAACAAGAACCTTGAAACCCCGTGGTTTGGCAACGACACCAGTCGATTATAACTTCCCTTTCGGTGTTACTGGTCTTTGCGGGTTGGTCGCTTTGGAAAGAAGAAAGGAAGGTTAGGTGTTGGGGCCCAACGAAACACTCACATTCCCTGCGCAAAGCAAACATCAGGAAGCTTACTCCGTCCTTATGAAAGCACTGTTTCTGCGTTTCTGAAAGAGTCCTGACCTGAGCAATATTGACGCCATAAACTATACAGACCACCCGACAACCACAATGTGCTTTTGTCCGAGGAGGCCTGTTCAGATACCGATGATGTAATGTAATGCAAAAAAT